CGTTCTTATGTACTATCAACTTTTTGACGCATTTCAGCCTGAGGTGTTCTTAATCGACGTGTTCTTATTATTGCGAGTTGTTTACTGTAGATAGTGTAGAGCAGTAATGTCTCAAGTCATAATGCTAAACACCAGGGTGCGGATTGTTATGTGTTGAGAATGGCACTTGGCATTAGCATTGGCAATTGTTATTGCATCGATACTCTGTGAGGATCGTTCTTTTCTTTAGTTTTACCTGTGTTTCTTTTTAAGTCTTCCATCTGGCCATGCGAAACATAAGACACCCTACTTTACAAATTTTTAGGGCCTAAAACAGTTCTTATCCGTAAAGGGGACTAAATGGGAACATTTGCCAACATGTTTTTAAAATCTAATGTTCTTATACGCGGGTTTTTACCTGTAAGTGGCAGCGAATTTCTAGGCACTATCCAATGTAGTTACATTTGGTGTTTATTTGTACAAATAATGTATGAAAATACGAATAGTGTTTCTGTTTACTTTTCATGGCTTCTATACCCATCTTTATATGCCCTATTTGCCGGTGGCAAAAACAGAGAGACGCCAGTATCTGAGACAGTCTGGGCGAATCAGTGTTAGACAACAGACATTACGCAAGTCGCCTAGTTTTGCAAATTTAACACAACGTAAAACATTTTTATCAGTGTGAGAGGTTGGAGGATATTTTAGTAACGTTAGTTCTTACTTTAATGTAAAAAAATGGCAATTTTTTACAAATTCTTACCAATAGAAACAGTTCGTACGTAGTCCCTTTACATGAGAATTCATTTAAAAAAAACGACAATATAATGGAGCTAACCTAGGGCTGGTTATTTAGAAATGATGCCAGTCAGTTCATTGGAAACAACTGACTTCAAGTTAAACCCTGCACCTTGTATGACCTTTGACCCTGTAAGTTTGGCAAAATATGCCAGCATCCTAGAAACTAATTGCTCTTGAACTGTTTCCCAATTCGCAATTATGTGGTGGAGCGAAAAGTCGCTCATAGATCGGAGACAGATCTGCTTACGTAAGCGTTATTTAACTTTTGGGTAATAAAACAGCCTATTTTAGCACATCACTTGTTCTTTATTTTTAATATGTTGGTCACATTTCAACATATTTGAACATGGATGAGTTTTAAAATGATCAGCAGGGCATCTCTTTGAATCAAAGTTTAGAGTAAAGAAGCCACCATTAGAGACCTGTTTCTTGGCCAAGAGGAAAAAAACTACAGGGGTGCTAAAAATCAATATTCCAAGATTTCGAGGAAGGGTAAAAATTGGTGACCCTTTGACTGCTAGGTGACCTCATTTTTCACTATCATGGTAAAAGAGCTCTAAATACCAACATTTTTGAGTGGTCCACATGATCATTAGCTTGAAAAAGACAACAGATCTCAAGTATACTTTTGTTTTCCACCACCCCTGAATTTTCGCAATTTGAGTTGACGCTCGTCAACACAAAAGGGGTTAAATACAGAAAAATTGCTCAAGGGTGACGGGTGGTCTCCACTAGAAAGTGAAGACCAACACCTAGTCTTACAAGAATCACATAAGAAAAAACACTTTAACTCTCAGTGCAGGTGTCCGCCATAATCGGGGTTTTGGCTCCCGGACGGTATACTCTTTTGCATAACTACCAAAGCTATATTATACGAGTATAGTACATGTCATAGCACATCACAAACAATTTGTGCAAGAGATCTGCATTTCAATGAGCATTGCTTTACTATAATATCGTCAACTAAAGCCTAGCGCGACTGATTGTTTAGTCTCGGCGAGACCGAAACGCCCTGTTCTCTACACTAGATTATTAACCCCTGTGTAATTCGAGATAGGTACCGTCGTATGTTTGCCGTGACGTATTTGTGCGTTCGCTTTTCAATGCGTGACCATTTAAACATATCTATTCATGCTTCATCATCGCGATCATATTGCCAAAGTGGATGCCAGAAACAGTAAATTCTGAAAGAGTTGGCCAACTACTAAATGTGGAACAGGAGCTAAACCGGCAACAGTGATCCAGAACCACTGCTAGTCGCCCGTGTGCTACTCTGCGGCTGAGTATGCGTGCGCCTGTCATGGAGTAGGTCCCATCCATGCAAAATTGACCCAGTTCTGAACATTGCTTGCAGGCCAATTTCTGGTGCTTGAGACCAACCAGTAGGATGACTCTTACCTGCTTCCTGGTGGCATTGCTTCCTCCACACGTTAGACGAATGTGCTTCATGCCCAAGTAAAAGAAACTTAACACAAGAAAAGACCCCTCCCACCCCTTCTTCCACCATGAAACAGTAGAAGAGAATGAGACTAAAGGTGTCCAGCGCCCACTAGTTTGCATCCACCGCGGTCAACCCCTGGCCATGGGAAACCTCCAAAACTACAGGATCGCCCAATGGTCAATAGCATTCTCAAGGCATAGCCGACATAAAGCTTTCACCCAACCCCCAGAAATCCCGCTTCCACCCGGACGCAACGAGTGTGATGGCCGACGTGCGTTATGTCTTAAATTCGCCTCAGACAAGGTTTGGTCGATGCAAGGCACTCATGCAGAAATGGGGAATACACTGAACAATGGCCCAGACGAATGCGACTGCGGGGAGGCCAAGACGTATCTCCTGACATCTCCTGAAATGCCACCCTATTACGCAGAGCTCCTGTAGCCCTGGAACCTTGAGCCTTGAGACAATCTCGCAATTGGCCTGCTCTATAACCTACGCCGCATGCGCCGGCGGCGCGCGCGCGCGGCGTGTGTGTGTGTGTGTGGTGTGTCGTTGTGTGTGTGTGTGTGTGTGTGTGCGTGGTGCTGTGCCTGTGTGCGTGCAGCGTGCGCTGTGCGTGTGCGTGCGCGTGCGCGTGCGCGTGTGTGTATGTGTATGTGTATATGTGTGTAAGTATGTATGGGTGGGCTCGTGCCCCCATCGTTCTAGTAAATCTTACACAATTAGTTCATAACGCTTTGCAAGCACCGTGGTGTCGCATCTATAGGCGGCCTGTAGAAGGTGCGGAAGGCGGACGTGAATGTGCATGAGCTGAACGAGGTAGTGGAGAGGGAAGGCAAGAGCACAATGACATATCGAGGTGGTGGAGCTAGAGGATGAAGAAATGTAGAGAATGTGAGAAAGAATAAGGGGAGAGGGTAAAACAGGGAGAGCAGGTAGACAGCTGAAAGACTATTCAGAAATAGTTATAATAAAAAATTTCCGGTGACAATCGCCGCATGTGCATAAGGTATAAATATATCGCGGATATAGCTAAAATATTATAGCTTGCCTCTGTTCGGCAAGCTATTTTATTACGTAGGGTATACGTCACACGTGTTCACACATTCACGATTTTACTTACTCACCTGCTATGGTGAAATTCACAAGCTTGCTTCTCTCATATGGATGAGCCCAAGTCCCCCAGAATACGTGCATGGCTGGGAAGACCACTCCCTTTTATATTTCATGCAGATTTAAAACGTAAATAATAGATGAGGACTTATTAATATAAACTTCACACCTAACAGTAATCATTATGAATTCAAACATTAAATTCCTGTAAGATAATATTATATGTATAATAATATATAAAATATAAATGTTAATAATATATGTAGAATTTATAATTGTAGTGCTCGTTCGGTCACAACTAGAGTATGTGCTTTCAACAATGTTATTCACATGCATTACGCTTAGCATTACGGCCAATTACAGAAGGAATTATATTCAGCTCTCGCCAACCCTACTGGCTGCAGGATCATCTTCGGCTGTTTACACTGTATCTATGTATAATCACATTGTTTATTGAGATAGTAAACGAGAAAGAGAGGGAGTGAGAGAAGGAGTGAAAAGAGCGAGCGAGAGATCGGACAGGGAGCGAGAGAGAGGGGAGAAGAAAGAAAGGGAGAGCCAGTGGTTAAAGATAGCTGAAGATTTCTTACGCTTTTGATGTCGAAACGAAGTATCTCTCTCATGAATGTTGGCAAATTAGTCGCTAATGTATAGAGTCCCCAACCCAAGGAAAAGTGAGCAGCAACGACGGCCCAGACTGGCAGCGAGGTAAACAGATGGCGCCACGGAATCGGCCTGTCTTCCTATGGAGCAGAGAAACCACATGTAGTAACAAACTAAAATTAACACAACTGCCTCCATCACGTAATATAAATGGATCCAGAAAAATATTCAAAACTGACCAAATTAAATATTGCATATTGATGAAAACGGAGATTCCACCGTTGTGTTATAAATAATAAAACTGCATTTTTTTTTACATAATAATTAATTAGTTTGTTAAATAATTATATATATATATATATATATATAAATATATATATATATATATATACACACATCAAGAGCACATACCGTTACCTGTCGTTTGTTCCATTACAGTTTATGAGTTTGCTTTTGCATAGTAAACGACTGTTAATTGTTTGCACCAAATCCTACACTCGAACCTTTACTTTATAACCGTTTGATCTAATACACCTTGTTGATAATTATTCATGTCTGACACATATTCGTATTCATATAAAAGAAGCGAACATGCATGCACGTCGAAAGGCAGGACATTGCCGCGCGTACCTCACGAATATGTCCTTTAAGAGAACTTTCTATGTATTCTCGTTCTTGCACGGATATACGAGGATGAACTGCCGGACTGTCATAAACAACGACCATCCACACGATAAACCACAGAATCCCAAATGAACCTAAAGAAAGCAAAGGTATACACATAACTAATCGATACTAACATTTTACTAGTAGAAATAGAAATTCATCCAAAGATCTTAAGATGATATAGCTAATTCTTACCACATATATAGAAGATAGCATACCAGCCAATACTATTGCACAGTAGAGCGGACAACGGAAAAACGATGATGTTTCCAATTTGTGACCCTGCAAGGCAAGTTTAATATAGTAAAGGCCTTGTGTAATACGCGAAAATAAAGGTAATAAAACTTTAATTAAAAGGTAATAAAGGTAATTAAAAGGTAATAAAACTTTAATTATAAGGTAATTTAAAGGTAATAAAACTTAATACGCGAAAATGGCAAAGAAATACTATGTTAAAGCGAGGATTTCACATGTTTTTATCAACCATTTTCATATTTTTTTGACCGTTCTGGTCCTACTAACACCAAAGTTATATATACGAGTATAGTACATGTCATAGAACACTCGCACAACAATTTGTGCAGAGATCTGCATTTCAAATGAGATTGCTTACATAATATGTCAACAAACCTAGCGGATGATTGTTTATCTCGCGAGACCGAACCCCTGTCTCTACACTAGATTAATTACCCTGTGTACATTTCGAGATAGGTACCAGTCTATGTTTGCGTGACGTAATACGTGCGTTCCTTTTCATGTGACCATTTAAACATATCTATATCATTCTCATATCGCGATCATATTGCCAAAGTGGATGCCAGAAACAGTATTCTAAAGAAGTTGGCCACTACTAAATGGGGAACAGACTCCGGAACAATCAGAACCACTGCTATCGCCCTGTGCTACTCTGCGGCTGAGTATGCGTGCCCTGTCTGGAGTAGGTCCCATGCTGCAAAAATTGACCCAGTTCTGAACATTGCTTGCAGAGCCATTTCTGGATGCTTGAGACCAACCAACGTAGATGACCTCTACCTGTTCTGTGGCATTGCTCCTCCACACGTTAGACGAATGGCTTCATCCCAAGTAAAGAAACTTAACCAAGAAAATGACCCTCGCCACCCCCTCTTCCACCATGAAACAGTAAAGAAGAGACTAAAGTCCAGGCACAGTTTCATCCACGCGGTTCAACCCCTGCATGGCAACCTCCAAAACTACAGGATCGCCCAATGGTCAAAGCATCTTCAGGCAAGCCGACATAAGCTTTCACCCAGACCCCAGAAATCCCTTCCACCCGGAGCCAACGAGGTATGGCCGACGTGGTTATGTCTAAATCGCCTCAGGACAAGGTTTGGTCGATGCAGGGCACTCATGCAGAAATGGGGATACACTAAAAATGGCCCAACCGAATGCGACTGCGGGGAGGACCAGACTATCTCCTGACATCTCCTGAAATGCACCCTATTACCAGAGCCCTGTAGCCCTGGAGACCTTGACCTTGAGTAGTTAGAGTAGTATGTCACTGGAGCCTTTTAGCAAAGTGTCATGTATAAAAGTTTAAAACATACGATAGATTGCGACTATTGGCCGGGACAATTTTGTAATCAACGCGTATTTAAAGTTCCTCCGCCGTGAGAGAAGCTGTTCAATACCCGCTAAGAAACTGTTTATATTTTCCGCAGTATGCCGTGTATACATAATTCTGTCAGGTTGGGCGTAAAATACCGGCATATTTGCAATTAATAGTATCCTCAGATTCCAGCTGTGTTGGCCAGGATGTGGAACAAGGCTGCACTGGGAATCAGCGAATTACATTTTTACGAATAAATAAACGCGTCCTAAGCAAGTTAAACAATCAACAATAGTTTACAATATACAATGGGGTTGGAAACCGTTTTTGTTCTTAGAATTGGCATAAAACTGTGTATCTAGTACGTAAATAAATTAAAACATGCGAGCGAATGCAATGATACATTACACTACAGGTGGCTAGAGAAACCCCATTAGACTGCCATGGCAGTGTTGCCATACCTGTTAAATGAGGTGAGCCGTGAAAAATGCGGCATCAGCCTCAGCGTTACCAACGCAATTCTTTGCATTTTCGGCTTGTCTATGATTTCATTTGGGATGTACATGAAGTTTGCAATCGAAGACAAGCTGGCGTTGATCGACGCTTACGACAGTGGTACTCTTCCGCATATGGTCCTGTCAGTTGGACTTCTAATGGTCTTGATACACGGTCTTGGTGCAAAGATATGGTTTGATTTGGGCTTCTACAAAACACGAAGCCGCTTCTCAAGTATCATGATGTTGTGGATGGTGGTGACCTTCATCGAGCTCTGGGTTGTCATTGCAGCAGGTAAATAACAACGACAGTTAATAATGTGCATATAAATTATAAAGTAAAATAAACAGTTAGTACGGCACAGCTATTTCTATGTTGTAAAATACATAAATAAAAAACAATGTGCTTTGTTTACTCAAATATTCTGTCGTATTCACTAGCATGGCCTTTTCCGGGTAGGCTTTTTATGGCGTGTATCCGTGCGAGTGCATGTGCGCGCGTGCGTGTATTGGAATAATTATTAATGGAAGTGTGCTTTCATTAACGCATAGTACAGGAGGGATGTGTAATACGCACCAATCGTTCATTAGGGATGGCTTCCAGCGCGGAATGATCGACGCATTAAAAAGATACAAAAACGACCAGACAACTAAACAAACAATAGATAAGTAAGCGAATATTCTACTCATATTAAATCAACCGAAATATTGTAATGTTATAATAAGCCTGCTATACGCAAAAAATTAAGCTCTTGAAATGAAGCTGAGAATAAACGGTTTCGAGTAGCCACGCTTCACTATCATTACAACCTACCCTTCACGATTGATTTCGTCCTAGCATGGGAAATAAATATAATGTGAATCATAATACGTTAATTAATTGTCATCTTCAGTATAAAGATTAGTACTATAGTTTATTTGTTGGTGTACCTGCAGTTTTATATAAAGTATATACTTATTTATGAGTCATGCGTTTTTTAGGCTGCAGATTGCATATGAATGCTGTGGAAGTCAAAGTTTTACTGACTGGTTCAACGTTTCCTGGTACAACGAGGAGTATGTTGACATAGAAGGAGATACGAAAATGAAACAGTAGGTCCACCAGTTACTACAACATTATGCTTGATTAAGTTATCTATTTCATAATGTTTAATATATATAGTACGTACCGTGAAATAACTAGATGATTTTTATCAACAACATCATTCTATTACTGAATAATCTGAGGACTCTTCGTACAGTAATGTTGCAATGCAAATATACAACTAAGCATTTCCCCACGAAATAACATTAATGGAAAATGGTCGACACATGTGTAAGGGTGAATTTTGACACACATTTTTCAGGTATGTTAGGGCGGATGGCCAACTCATTATGGACAGTGTACCATTTAGCTGTTGTCGACCAAATGCTCTTCAGAGTTGCATTCACCATCGGGTACGAGTATGAGAGAGGGTGTGAGCGCGTGATTGCCATCATTGATGTTATATATGATTACTGCTTATGTTTAATGGTTACTAATAGATTTCACATCACGAGAGCATATCATCTGATCTAACTGCATTGGCAAACCCGTAAGCACAACCCTGAACTTAATCTGCATTTACCACCCAAACTCTATACGCACTCCCATTCATATCCCACCATACACCCATCACTATGTAGTCCGTTATTCCAGCGTCGAGCACGAATCTCTAACTGCGTTGACTTTCTAGGCAATATCCCCCACCGCGCGATAAAGAATGTCTTAATAACCTCATTTACGAACGGCT